AAGGCACGGGTTGCGTGGCGGAGGGCTCTGTCCTCGGTGCCGGCGCTCTCAGGTACCGCCCTACCGCCGGGCCGCTTCGCTCCTCGCGTCGCCGCACCATTCTCGTACCGTGGCACCGGCTGCGATACCTCAGCGGTAACGTCTGTGCAGCATCTTTGACTAGGGTTCGAGTCCCGACGGTAGCCGGATGTTCAACACTAGCAATATATCTAGGTCGAGGTCAGCTTCTGTCTGGAGTAAAATTCTAGCAGCTAGCTGCTTCGATCCGAAGTTTTCCGTAGTTTCTCATATCAACACCAGGCGAATGCCGAAGCAGTGCCCTAACCAACGGGCCACATACCGCGCGCTATCTTTTTGACCATTCCTCACCTCCAACCGACACACACTTAAACTCACATGCACTACACCACCACACATGCCGGGCATCGATCGGCAGCTTAGAACTTGCCGCGGCTGTAGCTGATTGCTAAACATCCCCGCAAGCCGACGTTGGTAGGCGCCAGATCTCGCCATTCAGTGGGGGAAGATCACCGCCACCTTGCTCGAAACGAAACAAACATGCACAATACTAACGGGTTCAACGACTTTGGTGATTGACGCGCTCTGAATCACTAATAAATCAATGAATCGAGGAGTGTCGGTGGACACAAATCTTGCGGACGGTTTAAGGCAGGGGTTGTGAAGGGGCTGCGTCATTGATGCCCTCGCTCGGGTACCGCCCTACCGCCGTTTCGCCCATCGTCTCGCCGCACCAATCTCGTACCACGGCACCGGCTGCGATAACGCAGTGACAACGACTGTGCAGCATCGTTGGTTTGGCGGTATAGTTTTCTAGTTCCGACGGTGGTGCAGTTTCTATTCAAGCTACATAGCTGAGCCAAATTCAAGGTGAAGAGAATTCTAGTCGCTTGGCTGCCTTAATCGGTAGATTTCGTGCTTTCTCCGATCCGTACCAGGCGAATGGTGGCATAGAAACTTAGTGAGCGAGCTACGGATGGCGCGTGATGTTTTCTGTCTCATCCTCTCCCAAATGCCGTACATTACGACATATGTTGGTCTAGTCGAGACTGTTCTGGAGCTTAAAGCTTTTCCTAGGTTGGGACAGTGCTCCGTTGCGGGAAGACATCTAGATGAGGAAACTCAATTTGACGTGTAGATCGGCACTGGATCGCACTTTCAAGGGGGAGGAACACCGTCATCCCCCGATCTATACCTTGCACTACACTTAAGAGATTTGACTCGGTAGTCTACTCTCCCGGGATTAATGACGTTAGGCACTTGTACCATGATACCTCTTCGCATCTTCTTGCTTGCCCTTCCTCCATCATGATTCTATTCTGTTCCGTATAGCATCGTATTGTTCGGCGTTTCACTCTTCGCTGACATGCCTCCTACGAGTCCTTTTCAGCTTGGTTATACTGGGAACCGAATGGTGAGACATCACTTTGCACTGTATAGCACATGTGCGTCACAGTGCTTGACGTAGCTTGCCACTGCAGGACTGCATTGCTTCGTGTATCTTCGCATTATCGGCGCATCTCTGTTTCGCAGGTTTTGCTGCTATGTTTTATACGAGTCCATCACCGAATATCGAGGCACTACTTTGCTCAGATTGGCTCTGTTGTCCATCTTCTTGTCGCAGATAGCCGCGCAGTATTCTGCCAGGCGTCTCAATTGTTCGACGTTTTTCTGTTTCACGGGTTATGCTGTTTGGTTGTTTCTTCCATCGTTCACCAGGTCTCTATATCACTCCGGACGTCGAGGCCTTGGATTGCATTGCTCAGCGTGTCACCTGGTCAGTGCTTCTCTGGTCTGGTACCATTTCTCTCAACATAACGAATCTTCTTTGTATTTGACAGGTCCGGCTTGCACTTTCATGTCATCTAACACTGGTAATGTTTGTAATGAACCACTGTGGTGTTTCTCTCGTACTTCGTGGTCTCACATTGTTCTCCGTTTCTTCATATTGTGTTGGTTGACTATTATTTACTTAATTCCACATCATACAGCTTGTCTCTATCATTTCCCATCGCCAATCGTTCCCTCCCGCCACTTCGTTCCCCATCTCCACTTAAATCCACTCCGCCACTTTGGGTCCCTCCTGCTACCCCGTTCCCCACCGCCACTCCGTGCCACACCGCCAGCCTGTTCCCCACCTCCCCATCATTTCCCATCGCCAGTCGTTCCCTCCCGCCACTTCGTTCCCCATCTCCACTTAAATCCACTCCGCCACTTTGGTTCCCTCCTGCTACCCCGTTCCCCACCGCCACTCCGTTCTTCCCCGCCATCCCGCTCCGCACAGTCCCCAGGCGCGCACCGAAGTTGGGCCCCGGCGGCGCCACGGGGCAGGGGGCAAGGGCCCTCGGGGGATTTAGCGGAACGACCGGGGCCTCCTAATAAACGGGCCGCCTCCTCGCCGCCGCCCACACACCACTTTACGTACACAACCTGCGCCTCATAACACTCTCAGATATACACTCCGTATCTCTTGGCGGCAGTCCGCTACTAGCCGGTGGAAAACCAGAGCCGAGCCGTTGCGTGTTGGTATTTCTCAACCGCTTGTGCGTGCTGGTGCGACAACGCACAGGGGAAGGATTTGTCTCACCGTTTGTTGGCGGGTATAACTTCTTAGTTGTTGGTTTCTTTCCTGTATTGTTGGCGATTTAGGGCGAACGCGTCATGATGGTAGACATCTCTAAAACTCTGAAATTTACCGAAAAATACCTTACATTAATGCAAAATAAGGAATAATTATGTTTGTAGCATGTCCGTTTTACGACCGTTGCATGCATGAACCCAAGAAGGCAATCTATGTTGCAGCCATCCTCCGATCGTAAACGTCGCAAAACCTCCTCCTATATCCTTT